TTATAGGGTGTCATATGATTGTTGGGCTTTTCTCTGTTTTTGTTCAGTATTATTGTAGTGTCTTTACTATACAACATAAAGCACCTTGAAGCAATTGTTGTGATTTAGTGCTCTATAAATAATACTGAGTTGAATTAAACTGAATTACCACGGGGACCACTGTTGCCTTCACCCTCCACATGTTCAGGCCTTGTTGCCTTTGGCATTCTTCAAGCTTTTCATGTTCTTTCTGATGTTGCTGTCTCTTGGTATAGGTACATCTACCACTATGGCCTTCTTTCCACTTGGACAGCCATTGCCAGTTTGTCCGTCTGTATCTGGACGTCCCACAGGATCTTAATTTGGTCATTCCCAACCACCCTATGGAGCATTTTGAATTTTAACCGTGGGACTTCCAGGCCATACCTGGCACAGATGTTCCTGTATATTACGTCAGCTACTTCGTTAGGGCGTTCCATGTACACCCTGCCTGCTAGCATCTTGCACCCTGCTGTTATGTGCTGGAGGGGCTAAAGGGCAGAACCGTCATCTTGGGGCTTGTCTAATGTGGTAGACCCCAGCCTCTATCAATCTTGTGCTTATAGCTTGTTCCTGTGCTGCCATGTCCTCTCTTTCAGTCCAGCCATTGGTGGGATTTCTTGATATCAACCACTTCTTCTGCCACTCGATGTTACAGGCTCTTGGGATCCTGTTGATCTTGTACAGGTCTGGGCATTCCAGGATCCATGTGTGAAGCACTGAGTCACAGGCTTTCGTGTAGTCAATCCTATTGGTGCACAGGTTGGTCAGTTTGGTCTTACAGCCCTGAGTGAACACTCCATCTACCAGGGGTTGGTGTTTTGCTCCTCTGGCATTTTTACCCATTTCTTTCTCATATATATCAAGCGATGCACCTTTTCATCTTAGTTGCTATTATACCTGACAAGAGCTTCTATGTAGTGCTAAGCAGCAGTAGTTGAATGGGACAGAGATGGAATTCTGGGTTACAGCTGGTTGATTTCTGCTACCGGGCACTCGTGGTTTGCCATTAGCTTCTTTAGCCGAAAGGGTGTGAATCAACTTTTCATAATTAAGACTCTTTTTGAACGTCTGCCACCATGATGGTTACTGGACCCTGTTCAGTTCAATTCAATGTTATTTATACATCACCAAATCACACAGCAGTCACCTCAAGGAGCTTTATACTGACAGAGAGAGCCAGAGAATAATAACAACTACTGATTGAATGCAGAGTAGTGTATAAGAAAGAGAAACACTCGGTGCATCATGGGAAACCCTCAGCAGCCTAGACATATTGCAGCATAACTAAGGGAGGCTTCAGGATCACCTGATCCAGCCC